GGTGGTCCCGTAAATCATGTTCCCTCACGCTTCACCAGGAACAGTTAGGACACTTCCTATTATGAAGTGAGGCCTATATTAATCCTTAGGCCGCCGTGAACGCCAATTTCCTGGTCCCATGCTTTCCCAGCCTCTTAACTCCATTCCAAACACTCCTGCTCCCTGATGCCCCGTCTCGACCTCTCCCTGCCCATCAGCGCAGGCGCAGAGCTTCCCTGTTGGTTCTAGTCCATTTTCAAATACATTTTTGACCCATATCGACACATTAAACACCTATTAGGCACTATAGCTTCGGAAGATTAAAATATTTTCCACAATATATATGTTAGATATACAGGAAATAACTCTTCTTCCTCTCTGTAGCTTTATTCATAAGGTACATTTTGGCTCTCTTCTTAAACTAGCTCATGCTATGACTGACTTGTGCAGGCAGTTTAATATATTATGCACCCCATACCCGTCCTGTGGGCAGTAGTCAAAATATTACAGAGGTACATAATGGGTCCAGGGACTGGACCCCAAAGTTTTGATGGCTGAACTAGTTACAAAAGTTATGAACTCCAGGTAGATCTGGTCACAGTCATGGCAAGTAACAAAGGTAATGAATCATCCTCACTCCTATACATGGTTAATTACAAAGTAATGAGCCACTGACACGTCCACATCCAGTCACAATTGTATTGAGTTATAAATACAAAAATTAAGTGGGTGATACACCCCCCCCCCCACGCACACACAAGAAGACAACAGCGAGTCATGGTACGTGGCGAGGTGTCAGAGTGGGCGCCGGTAACAAGCGGGGTGCCACAGGGATCAGTCCTAGGACCGGTGCTGTTTCTGGTGTTTGTGAACGACATAACGGAAGGAATAGACTCCGAAGTGTACCTGTTTGTAGATGATGTAAAGTTGATGAGAAGAATTCATTCGGAAGAAGAGCAGGTAGAAATACAAATGGATCTGGACAGGCTGCAGACCTGGTCCACCAATTGGCTCCTGGTGTTCAACCTCACCAAGTGCAAAGTCATGAAGACTGGAGAAGGGGAAAGAAGACAGCAGACGGAGTGCAGTCTAGCGGGCCAGAGGCTACAAACCTCACTCAAGGAAAAAGATCTAGGGGTGAGTATAACAACAGGCACATCTGAGGCGCATTCCGACATCTTAATAAGGAATCGTTCAGGACCCTGTACACTGTGTACGTTAGGCCCATATTGGAGTATGCGGCACCAGTTTGGAACCCACACCTAGCCAAGCACGTAAAGAAACTAAAGTGCAAAGGTTTCCAACAAGACTAGTCCCAGAGCTAAGGGGTATGTCCTACGAGGAGAGATTAAGGGAAATAGACATGACGACACTGGAGGACAGGAGAGATAGAGGGGAACATGATAACGACATATAAAATACTGAGAGGTATTGACAAGGTGGACAGAGACAGAATGTTCCAGAGATGTGACACAGCAACAAGGGGACACAATTGGAAGTTGAAGACACAGATGAATCAAAGGGATGTTAGGAAATATTTCTTCAGTCACAGAGTAGTCAGAAAGTGGAATAGTTTGGGAAGCGATGTAGTGGAGGCAGGATCCATACATAGCTTTAAGCAGAGGTATGATAAAGCTCATGGTTCAGGGAGAGTGACCCAGTAGCGACCAGTGAAGAGGCGGGGCCAGGAGCTATGAATCGACCCCTGCAACCACAACTTGGTGAGTACAACTAGGTGAGTACACACGTAGTAGCGACCAGAGGAGAGGCAGGGCCAGGAGCTGAGTCTCGACCTCTGCAACCACAATTAGGTGAATACACACACACACACACACACACACACACACACATTATTTACAGTGAGCAAAGTCAGGGTATTTCTCCATAATGGTCTGTAATATACTACTGTGGATAAAATACTTTGCCATTTCTTGAACAATTCTGAGTGGTTTGTCTCTAAATTCATTAATTTTATCGCACCCCAGTACATAATGACGCAAGGTGTGATGCACTCCAGTGCATAATGACGCAAGGTGTGATGCACTCCAGTCCATAATGACGCAAGGTGTGATGCACTCCAGTCCATAATGACTCAAGGTGTGGCGCACTCCAGTACATAACCTGGAGTTTACCTGGAGAGAGTTCCGGGGGTCAACGCCCCCGCGGCCCGGTCTGAGACCAGGCCTCCTGGTGGATCAGAGCCTGATCAACCAGGCTGTTGCTGCTGGCTGCACGCAAACCAACATACGAGCCACAGCCCGGCTGATCCGGAACTGACTTTAGGTGCTTGTCCAGTGCCAGCTTGAAGACTGCCAGGGGGCTGTTGGTAATCCCCCTTATGTGTGCTGGGAGGCAGTTGAACAGTCTCGGGCCCCTGACACTTATTGTATGGTCTCTTAACGTGCTAGTGACACCCCTGCTTTTCATTGGGGGGATGGTGCATCGTCTGCCAAGTCTTTTGCTTTCGTAGTGGGTGATTTTCGTGTGCAAGTTCGGTACTAGTCCCTCTAGGATTTTCCAGGTGTATATAATCATGTATCTCTCCCTCCTGCGTTCCAGGGAATACAGGTTTAGGAACCTCAAGCGCTCCCAATAATTGAGGTGTTTTATCTCCGTTATGCGCGCCGTGAAAGTTCTCTGTACATTTTCTAGGTCGGCAATTTCACCTGCCTTGAAAGGTGCTGTTAGTGTGCAGCAATATTCCAGCCTAGATAGAACAAGTGACACGCAAGGTGTGCTGCACTCCAGTACATAATGACGCAAGGTGTGGCGCACTCCAGTACATAATGACGCAAGGTGTGATGCACTCCAGTACATAATGACGCAAGGTGTGGCGCACTCCAGTACATAATGACGCAAGGTGTGATGCACTCCAGTACATAACGACGCAAGGTGTGACGCACTCCAGCACATAACGACGCAAGGTGTGACGCACTCCAGTACATAATGACGCAAGGTGTGATGCACTCCAATACATAATGACGCAAGGTGTGACAATAGTCCATCTGGCAAAGTTTACATTTCGTTTGGTCTACATCTGGTGGTGGTGATTTAACCTGCCGAAGATACTTGTAACCCAGCCGGAGCCGGGCGGTAGTGACATCCAAGAGTCTGCTTATTTTGTTGGATGTACCATAGACATGTGGCTCCGCTGAACAAGTTACAAAGGTAATGAGCTCCAGGTAGATCTGGTCAAAGTCATGACCAAGTTACAAGATAATGAAAATATTTATTTCCTTGCAAAGCTTACAATGCGTGGTTTACATATAAAATATTAATTACAAGGAAGGCCTCTTTGCAGATGACACCCGAATCTGCATGACAGTGTCTTCCATTGCAGACACTGTAAGGCTCCAGGCGGACATCAACCAAATCTTTCAGTGGGCTGCAAAAAACAATATGAAGTTCAACGATGAGAAATTTCAATTACTCCGATATGGTAAACATGAGGAAATTAAAACTTCATCAGAGTACAAAACAAATTCCAGTCAAAAAATAGAGCGAAAAACCAACGTCAAAGATCTGGGAGTGATCATGTCGGAGGATCTCACCTTCAAGGACCATAACATTGTATCAATCGCATCTGCTAGAAAAATGACAGGATGGATAATGAGAACCTTCAAAACTAGGGATGCCAAGCCCATGATGACACTCTTCAGGTCACTTGCTTTATCTAGGCTGGAATATTGCCGCACACTAACAGCACCTTTCAAGGCAGGTGAAATTGCTGACCTAGAAAATGTACAGAGAACCTTCACGGCGCGCATAACGGAGATAAAACACCTCAATTACTGGGAGCGCTTGAAGTTCCTGAACCTGTATTCCCTGGAACGCAGGCGGGAGAGATACATGATTATATACACCTGGAAAATCCTAGAGGGTCTAGTACCGAACTTGCACACGAAAATCACTCACGACGAAAGCAAAAGACTCGGCAGACGATGCAACATCCCCCCAATGAAAAGCAGGGGTGTCACTAGCACGTTAAGAGACCATACAATAAGTGTCAGGGGCCCGAGACTGTTTAACTGCATCCCAGCATACATAAGGGGGATTACAAACAGACCCCTGGCTGTCTTCAAGCAGACCCTGGACAAGCACCTAAAGTCGGTACCTGACCAGCCGGGCTGTGGCTCGTACGTTCGATTGCGTGTAGCCAGCAGTAACAGCCTGGTTGATCAGGCTCTGATCCACCATGAGGCCTAGTCACAGACCGGGCCACGGGGGCGTTGACCCCCGGAACTCTCTCCAGGTAAACTCCAGGTAAATAAGCGGCTTTCTATGTAGTAGAATGTCATTGATGTCAGCTAGGTCTGTATACCTTGTACATGTACTTGTAGTAAATAAATACATTATTATTATTATTATTTTTTTTTTTTTGTTAAGACAAGAGTAATCTGTAAGTTGAGATGTTCTGTTTATAAGCAGAAATAATGTTTATAAGTTTAGTTATTTTAATTTTTTTTATCATGCACCCAATACCCATCCTGTGGGCGGAAGTCACCCCATACCCATCCTGTGGGCGGAAGTCACCCCACACCCATCCTGTGGGCGGAAGTCACCCCATACCCATCCTGTGGGCGGAAGTCACCCCATACCCATCCTGTGGGCGGAAGCCACTCCATACCCATCCTGTGGGCGGAAGTCACCCCATAACCATCCTGTGGGCGGAAGCCACCCCATACCCATCCTGTGGGCGGAAGCCGCCCCATACCTATCCTGTGGGCGGAAGTCAAAAGATTGCAGAGGTACATAAACAACTGTGTTTTGGATAATAGTAATATATCTTTATTTCTACAAGTACATGTACAAGGTATACAGGCCTAGCTGACATCAATATTTCTACAATTTGCCGGGAATCGAACCCGGACCATCACCGTGTGATACGAGAGCTTTTGCTACCACGCCACGGGACACCGTGTAAAATGTAAAATGGAAAAGCAGCAGTTTTTCAGTTAAAAGAAAATAATAGTCCGACTGGTTTGTTGGTTAATAATTCACTAAATTATAATTTCCTGGCAGTGGGACTTGGCAGCTAAGATAGAAGAGAAGATTCAGGAGACACCAGAGCTACGAGTGAGCTTCGACCGTCATGTTTACTTCACTAACTTCACATCACTGAACCTCAAAATGCCCGTCTACTTTAGCCTTGTCAGGGATCCTGTAGAGAAGATGGCCTCAAGGTTGGTGTTTCCCCTTTATCAGTTTGAAGTTTATTTGAACTTCTAGGTTAAACGTGGGCTTGGCACCATATATGCAAATTGGTGCCTGCACAGTCCAGTGGCAATCCAAAATTTCCTCTAAGATACATCAATGATGACAATGTGAAGCTGATCTGAAGAGGCAATCAAAGGCTGTCACAGAAACCAGTATCCTAATTTGTTGAATGATATTGGAATAATTGCACTTATACAGCACTTATACATCAGCCTTGAAAGTTTGAGGGGCTCTTGATCAAAGGAAATAATCCTGTCTTCCATTTTCTTGAATCTAGCCTGACTGCTTCTCATGCAGTCAGTCGCTGTGACCTCCAGTGAGTTTACCTGGAGTTTACCTGGAGAGACTTCCGGGGGTCAACGCCCCCGCGGCCCGGTCTGTGACCAGGCCTCCTGGTGGATCAGAGCCTGATCAACCAGGCCAATCACAAGAATTATTCCCCAGTTATCGTATGAAAACCAATAATCCCCTATTTTTAATTGTTAAAAAATGTTAATTTGTACCTACCCAAAAACAGTAAATTTTCCTTTCATTTTGATGTATCAGTGTATAAAGTTTCAAGCCGTTTAGAAGAGGCATTCTCATCACATTTTTTTTTTAATAAAATTGGAGGGAGAGATATATCATAATCTACACTTGGAAAATCCTGGAAGGAATGGTCCCAAATCTGCACACAGAAATCACTCCCTACGAAAGTAAAAGACTGGGCAGGCGATGTAAAATGCCCCCAATTAAAAGTAGGGGCGCCATTGGTACACTAAGAGAAAACACCATAAGTGTCCACAGCCCAAGACTGTTCAACAGCCTCCCATCAAGCATTAGGGGAATTGCCAATAAACCCCTGGCTGCCTTCAAGAGAGAGCTGGACAGATACCTAAAGTCAGTGCCGGATCAGCCGGGCTGTGGCTCGTACGTTGGACTGCGTGCGGCCAGCAGTAACAGCCTAGTTGATCAGGCCCTGATCCATCGGGAGGCCTGGTCATGGACCGGGCCGCGGGGGCGTTGATCCCCGGAATAACCTCCAGGTAACCTCCAGGTTTATAGCCTATTTACCGTCAGAATCTTTCTCTAAGATACACTGTGGACCCTATGTTCAGTTATATTTAATTTAGTATATGAAATCATTGTAAAAACTTAAAATTATGTACAAGGCCTAAATTAACACTTACGTAACAAAGTTTGAAGCTGATTAGACAAGACATTCACAAATTACAACACAAAAATCTTAGAAAAGACAAAGATGCTTAAAGCCGGGGATGATACTCAACTCTAGACTAATATTGCTACGTATTAATAGCCCCCAATTAAGACAAGTGAAATTGCAAATGTAAATATGCAAATCAAATAATGTACTGAACCTCAGATCAAGAGCCCTTCACCAACATTACTGCATCCTCCTGGGAGGGTTAATACTTACATAAATTTCATCAAACACTTTAAGTTAACGGAATGCCTAAATTCCGTGAGTGGTCTTCCAAGAGCGCATGCGACAAGCTAAATTCCAATAATTTCCTGGTAAATACTGAAACTGAAGTTCTCAAACTGTGAGGAACGTAAGATATAAGATTTCAGAGGAGGCATCCCCTCAAGGAAGGTTCCTTGATGCTGGTGAGGGGCTCTTGATCTAGGGAATTGGATATGTGCTACAGTTCCCCGAATTAAGCCTGAATACCTTCCACATCCCCACAGGCGCTGTATAATCCTACAGGTTTAGCGCTTCCCCTTGATTATAATAATAAAATCAGAGGAGGCATGGGGAATCAATAGAAAATATTTAATAGCTGGGCTTCTATGTACTGAAGAAGGAGGTGAGGACATATTTTGAAACTAAAGGAAATGTATTCCTAACTATCTTTAATTTGAAGAGTTTAACTTGTTAATGGTTTACCTTACCGGTATACTTCTGAGGTCTTAATGTCCTCAACTTCAAGCTACCAGGAAGACAAAACTGAAATTGACAACTAGCATCCTATTAGGAATCATGTTTCCATTGCAGTCGAGGATGTGTCCCTGAACCACTGAAAGAGCAGTCACTTGAACGGAAATTTTATTCAGTTTCAAAGGGCGAATTTACTAGTTCGGCCTAGAAGTTTTGGGTGAAGTTCCTACCTGGAGTTTACCTGCACAGAGTTCCGGGGGTCAACGCTCCCGCGGCCCGGTCTGTGACCAGGCCTCATGGTGGATCAGGGCCTGATCAACCAGGCTGTTACTGCTGGCTGCACGCAATCCTACGTACGAACCACAGCCAGGCTGGTCAGGTGCCGACTTTAGGTGCCGACTTTATGTGCTTGTCCAGTGTCTGCTTGAAGACAGCCAGGGGTCTATTGGTAATCCCCCTTATGTATGCTGGGAGGCAGTTGAACAGTCTCGGGCCCCTGACACTTATTGTATTGTCTCTTAACGTGCTAGTGATACCCCTGATTTTCATTGGGGGGATGTTGCATCGTCTGCCAAGTCTTTTGCTTTCGTTGTGAGTGATTTTCGTGTGCAAGTTCGGTACTACTCTCTCTAGGATTTTCCAGGTGTATATAATCATGTATCTCTTCCGCCTGCGCTCCAGGGAGTACAGGTTCAGGAACTTCAAGCTCTCCCAACAATTGAGGTGTTTTATCTCCGTTATGCGCTCCGTGAAGGTTCTCTGTACATTTTCTAGGTCAGCAAATATGTGCCACTGTAATCTTTTGACTACCGCCCACAGGATGGGTATGGTGCATAATAAAGATATTAAAGTAACTGTCAACATACCCACACCTGCTGAACCTCAACCAAATTCAGAGCAACTCCCCCAAATACTTTAATTATCTCTTAACTATTAAGCCATTATTACATAAAACCACATTGTAATATTAATATAGAAATAAAGAATTTTAATTTTAATTTAATTTTAATCCTGTTGGTGGTAGTCAAAAGATTACACTGCAGCTCACAAGACTGCCATCAACACGAGCCCCTTTGGGGCGCGGCAAATGGCAGATCAGAGGCCTAGCTTCTCCCTGCGAGCCCCGTGAGGGCGGGGACTGTGGCCTGGGGACAATTGGTCCCAAAGATGAGGGGGTACTTGTACCTCCTCCCATGGGAGACTTAGGTCTCGAGACACTTCCCAGATAGGGAACCAAGGCCGGGTCACCACTACTGGAAAAGACCCAGGCCGGGAGAATACCGGCGAATAAAAAAAAAAAAAGATTACACATCGACACCATGCCCAGCCCTTCTAGGGTAGGGTAGGTGCCTGAGCCAGAGCTTGCAGCTCACAAGCCTGTCATTCCCATTAGCTCCCTTGTGGCGGAGATGGTAGACCAGAGAGGCCTAGCTTGTGGCTAGGCCTGGGGACAGTTGGTCCCAAAGATGAGGGGGTACTTGTGCCTCCTCCCATGGGAGACTTAGGTCTCAGACACTCCCAAGACAGGGAGCCAAGGCAGGCCACCACTTGGAAAAGGCCCGGGCCGGGAGAATACCGGCGAATCTTTAATAATAATAATAAAGATTACAGAGATACATAATGGGTCCAGGGACTGGGCCCCAAAGTTTGATAGCTGAGCAAGTTACAAAGGTAATGAACTCCAGGTAGATCTGGTCACAGTCATGACAAGTTACAAAGGTATTTACAGATTACAGAGGTACATAATGAGTCCAGGGACTGGACCCCAAAGTTTTGATATTTGTATTCTACTACTGTTCGCCTGTCTAGATTTAAGTAGTCTATAAGTATTATTTTTTTTTCTTATTCGCAAGTACCCCCTCATCTTTGGGACCAAGTGTCCCCAGGCCTAGCCACAGTCCCCGCCCTAACGGGGCTCGTAGGGAGAAGTTAGGCCTCTGGTCTGCCATCTGCCCCGCTCCAAAGGGGCTCGTGGGGATGGCAGTCTTGTGAGCTGCAGGTGGTAGCAAGCTTAAACCTTATAAGTATTAGGTTAAATCTGCCCGAAATGCCTAGGCATGATAGCGGTTTTCTTTGCTCCAGTCATTTTATGATATGTAAACACACAATGTAACCTTAGCAAAGAAATAAATACATGTACAGTATGTACTGTATTTATTTTTTTATTGGATATTCAAACACACTTTGTTTTATATTATCTGTTCAAATCATTTCAATATAATCAATAATAATGACGTACTGTGAAGAAATAGGCCAAAATCTTACTTTCCAGACATAGGGGTAAACGCGCGCACATTTGCTTACATAAAAAAATCACGAAATTCGCACGACTTTTGGGTTTTTCTATGAAATATGAGTGACTTCTTATGTGTATTATACCGTTTTCTTTAGTAAGAGACCAGAGATAAGAGAGAAAACCATTCTTTCATAGTCAGGAACTTAGCTAAACCATTTTGACGGCGGCCACCCTCCGGTATAATATGCTAATAATATTATTTTGGCCGTCTTTATTATACTTTTATCTAATTTATCTTATGTCTGGTATCACTATTGAATAAATTGTACAAGCAGATAAAGTTTATTAGTAATAACAGCGTCAGTATAAAGACATATTGTGATCGACGACCAGACTGCTGACGAAGTCAAATGCTCGTTGGACCTTCCTTCTAGCTCCTCCCACACTAATGATAAGACTGCCATCCCCACGAGCCCCTTCGGGGCGGGGCAGATGGCAGACCAGAGGCCTAGCTTCTCCCTACGAGCCCCGTGAGGGCGGGGACTGTGGCTAGGCCTGGGGACACTTGGTCCCAAAGATGAGGGGGTACTTGTACCTCCTCCCATGGGAGACTTAGGTCTCGAGATACTCCCCAGATAGGGAGCCAAGGCCGGGTCACCACTACTTGGAAAAGACCCGGGCGGGAGAGTACCGGCGAATAAGAAAAAAAAAATGATGTTCAGTGGTAAATTTAGTGTATTAGAAAGAAAAATAGACAAAAATTTAAAAAAAAAAATAAAAAAAAAATCACCTCGTACACGGCTATATTTACAAGGCGGAAGTCACCAGACATGTTCAAATAGCTATAATTTCCTGTACAAACATTGTATTACAATGGGATTTTCACCAAAATGTTGCCAGATTCTTAAACTTTTTCTGTTAACAAAACTCATTTTCCATATTTTCCAAATTAGTATTTTCGTTTCTCGCGCCGCGGATGGTGAACCTGTCCCTTTAGGTGCCTGTCCAGGGTCTTCCTGAAGACAGCCAGGGGTCTATTGGTAATCCCCCTTATGTATGCTGGGAGGCAATTGAACAATCTAGGGCCCCTGACACTTGTCTCTTAACGTGCTAGTGACACCCCTGCTTTTCATTGGAGGGATGTTGCATCGTCTGCCGAGTCTTGCTTACATATGGAGTGATTTTCGAGTGCAAGTTTTGTAGTAGTCCCTCTAGAATTTTCCAAGTGCATATAATCATGTATCTCTCCCGCCTGCGTTCCAAGGAGTACAGGTTCAGGAACTTCAAGCGCTCCCAGTAATTGAGGTGTTTTATCTCCGTTATGCGCGCCGTGAAGGTTCTCTGTACATTTTGTAGGTCAACAATTTCACCTGCCTTGAAAGGTGCTGTTAGTGTGTAGCAATATTCCAGCCTAGATAGAACAAGCGACCTGAAGAGTGTCATCATGGGCTTGGCATCCCTAGTTTTGAAGGTTTTCATTATCGATCCTGTCATATTTCTAGCAAATGCGATTGATACAGTGTTACGGTCTTTGACAGTGAGATCCTCTGCAATGATCACTCCCAGGTCTTTTACATTAGTTTTTCTGGTTTTTTTTTAAACTTGATTTTAACACCTGGAAAACTTCAATCCTTGTTTTGCCACCAGCAGCACAACCAGCATTTAATTTGGCGGTGTGAAAGGTCATAAGATGTTGATAAAATCAAAGAAACCGCTTTTAAAAAATATATGACTTTCAGTATCTACATGAAATTTCCCAAAATGCCATGCTTTCGTTGTCACTGGTCAGCATTATACAGTGAAAATTAGTCATTAAAAAAACAGTAGTATTTGCATGTGGGGGACTCCATACATGGTTACACCACTAATAGCCACAATCTTTCCTAACGTGGGAATTATTATGATCTTATTAACAACAAAATGTGTTATATTCCACAGATTTTACTATAAGCGAGTGACACTACGTCCTGGTGCTATGACTCCTCCCGGGTACCAAACATCACCTTCACCCCCTCATGCTACTCTAGAAGACTGTCTTCTTGCTGCCAGTGAGGAGTGTACCTTCATCACTGGTCATCACTATGACCTTACTATACCATATTTTTGTGGTCACCAAGAGTACTGCAGGTTAGTCAGCCTCAGTTACCATGAGTACTATCACTTATTAGTAGTAGTAGCAGGTTATTATACTGTCTGTCTGTATTCCTCAGTAAGTGGACAATTAAGCACATAGTGTTCAAGAGAGTGACCATATGCCTGATCACATAATTTACATTTAGTTTGATCATCATCTGTGTGTCTCCCAAACTGCCAGAAGTACTTGTAACCAAGCCTAAGCCTGGCCACTACAACATCAGTCAGTCTGTTCACATTGCAAGTTGCTCCATAAACATACTTATCTACGTTCATGTTATCATAGTGGGTTATAGATCTACTCAGGCTTCTAACTGCATTCCTATAACAATCATTTTCATTATTTGCTTCTCTCCTAATATTATTCCTAATGCTAGACACAGTTATACCAAAGTTATATTCTACATTCTCCTTCTGGGTACTCTTCTTGGCTAACATATCAACTTTATCATGAAGGAGTAATTCAATGTGTGATGGGATCCATAGCAACTGTACATTAATTCCTGTGTCTCGGATTTTTGAGTATTTATACCTGGCTTCTCCAATGAGCATGTTGCTGGAGTCATTATATGAGTCAAGAGCCTTCATTGATGACAGAGAATCAGTAATGATGATAGTCAAGCTCAGTGTCATAAATTAGCTTTACCTGGAGTTTACCTGGAGAGAGTTCCGGGGGTCAACGCCCCCGCGGCCCGGTCTGTGACCAGACCTCCTGGTGGATCAGAGCCTGATCAACCAGGCTGTTGCTGCTGGCTGCACGCAAACCAACGTACGAGCCACAGCCCGGCTGATCAGGAACTGACTTTAGGTGCTTGTCCAGTGCCAGCTTGAAGACTGCCAGGGGTCTGTTGGTAATCCCCCTTATGTGTGCTGGGAGGCAGTTGAACAGTCTCGGGCCCCTGACACTTATTGTATGGTCTCTTAACGTGCTAGTGACACCCCTGCTTTTCATTGGGGGGATGGTGCATCGTCTGCCAATGGCTTTAGCGCCATTAGGATTGCAAACAATTCAGTTTGCAGTGTAGACGCCCAGCTGTTAATTCTTATGCCTAACTCAACAAGTTTATTATCGTTCTTAACTAGAGAGGTGGCAACAAGAGCAGATGCAGCCCTGCCAGAAATTTCTTCAAGAGCAGTTGCTTTAAAAAGTGATTTAAAAAAGGGATTATTAGCAATGAGCTTCTTGGGAGGGACTTGCAGGTATGTGATATTAAATGAGCACATCTTCCATGGAGGGGTGAAATGCTCTTGTTGCCTACAGTGATACAGTTCATGCAGGTTATAAAACTTAATGTAATTGCACGTTTTCACAATCCATTTAGATCTGTGTGTATTTACCTCTAGACACTTGGTAAGATTAATTTTGACAGTCTGGTTCATTTCTTAACATTCTAATACCGAGTACAGTGTTAATCTCAACAATCCTATCACTGATACTAGAAACACCAAGCTCCTTCCTCAAATTAAAAGCCTTTGTAGATTTGGAACACCCAAGAATAATTCTGAGAGCTTCATTTTGCATTAACTCCAAGGGTGGGAGAGAACTTCCTCTAGCTAATATCAACATGGGAGTATAATCAATTAAGGACCTAACATAGGCTATGTACATCATTATCGCGATTCTCACATTAGCACCATAGTTGGGATTGTAGCCAGCAACAGCTTTGAGAGCATTTAGCCTATCTTTGCATTTCTTATTTAGTTGTGGTGTAGTGGAGTTGTTAAAGGGTACATCTACACCAAGATATTAAGTTTTAACGTAGCTAATGTTTTCACCCTGCAAATACATGGATGGGGGATGTCTTTTGCTTGTTTTAGAGGAAGATATGATGAGGCTGTGGAAAATACTGTATATATTTTCCAGAAATACAGTAGTTATATGTAAATAGATGGCCATACTGTATTTAATAAAAATTATGTTATAAAAAATGGGAAGCCTGCGCCTGCGCAGAAGAGACTCGCCATTGTTGTTTGAATTGAACAGAACGTTAGTGAATAATAAGAAGAATTTTCGTGCTCTAGAGGTTAAAATTGATGTTGGTGAGGGGCTCTTGATTTAGGGAATTGGATCTGTGCTCCAGTTCCCCGAATTAAGCCAGAATGCCTTCCATATCCCCCCCAGGCGCTGTATAATCCTCCGGGTTTAGCGCTTCCCCCTCTGGTGGCCTGGTGGTTAACGCTCTCGGTTCACACGGCGAGGGCCTGGGTTCAATTCCCAGCCAGAGTAGAAACATTGGACGTGTTTCTTTCCACCTGTTGTCTATGTTCCCCATCAGTAAAATGGGTACCTGGGTGTTAGTCGACTGTCGACTGGTGTGGGTCGCATCCTGGGACACTGACCTAATTTGCCCGAAATGCCTCCGGAGCATAACAAGGGACTTTCTATATAGTAATATGTCATTGTAATCAGCTAGGACTGTATACCCTGTACATGTACTTGTAGTAAAATAAAGATATTATTATTATTATTATTATTATTATTATTATTATTGATTATAATAATAATAATAATAATCTAGAGGTTAAAATTGGGCCGACACCTCTCAAATAGAAGCTGAAATTGTTGGATGTGCATTCCTGCATAACTTGAGATATCAGGCGACTGGACAAGACAGCTCCAGGAACCTCAAATAAGTCTGTTATGTTTAACTCTGGCCAGTGTTATTTTCATGTATAGACAGTGAGGTTTTCTGAGTATGATACACCTTGATCTCCAGTCAAATTGGTGAGTGATATTAAGATATTTTCCTTCTGATATGTAAATTGTATATATATAATCGTTTATTAATTTTAATATACAGTCCACAAATTTATATATTTACCAGAATTCCTAGTGATACATATTTCATTTGTAATTAATAGGTCCAGAGCAACTTGTGGATATGACAGCGGTAGGTATGGAAAGGGGACATTTTTTGCGACCTAGGTGTTCCAAATTCCTACTTGTCTAACTGATAAATAATAATTATCTTTGTTCATTTACTGTTATGTACATAATGATACATTCAGATAAACGCAATTTTCCACAGAGGCCTAGTAGATTACAAATTGCTTGAACTTCATTAAGAATGGTACTCATCTTCTTATGCCCTGTTGTATGGATCATGTCATCAGCATAGCTTATAGCTATATGTTTAGGTGAGGTAGGTAGAGCATTTAGGAGAGCATTAATCAGAATATTAAATAGCATGGGACTGAGAACTCCTCCCTGCGGTGTACCTAGGGACATTTCTCTAGACTCGCTTCCAAAGCCTTGGTAGACGACAGAGGATACTTTATTTGACAGGTATCCTATTATCCAGCAGAGTAAACTACCACCAATATTCATTTTGGCTAGTTCATGTATAACGGTTCTGTTTGCGATTTCAAATGCAGATTTTAGATCAAGAAATGTAGTAAAACTAGTAGAGGTGTGTGCAGTGAGAAGGTGGAAATACGTACAATTCTGCACACTTTTACCTTTCCTGAACCCATAGAGGTAGGGGGAAAGTGGATTTACCAGGTTTACCAAGAGAAGGTTTCGGGGGTCAACGCCCCCGCGGCCCGGTCTGAGACCAGGCCTCATAGTGGATCAGGGTCTGATCAACCAGGCTGTTACTGCTGGCCGCACGCAAGCTGACGTACGAACCACAGGCCGGTTGGTCAGGTACTGACTTTAGGTGCCTATCCAGTGCCTTCTTGAAAACAGCCAGGGGTCTGTTGGTAATTCCCTTTATGTATGCTGGGAGGCAAATGAAAAGTCTTGGGCCCCGGATACTTATTGTGTTGTCTCTCAGTGTACTCGTGCCGCCCCTGCTTTTCATCAGGGAAATGTTGCATCTCCTGCCGAGTCTTTTGCTTTCATAGGGAGTGATTTTCGTGTGCAGGTTTGGTACCAATCCCTTCAGGACCTTCCAAGTGTATATTATCATGTATCTCTCGCCTGCGTTCGAGGGAATACAGATCAAGGACCTTCAACAGTTCCCAGTAGTTTAGGTGCCTTATCGTACTTATGTGTGCCGTGAAAGTTCTTTGTACACTCTCCAGGTCTGCAATGTCGCCAGCCTTGAAAGGGGCCGTTAGTGTACAGCAGTATTCCAGCCTAGAGCACAAGCGATTTGAAGAGAATTATCATGGGCTTGGCGTCCCTAGTTTTGAAGGTTCTCATTATCCATCCTATCATTTTCCTAGCGGATGAGGTAGATACATTGTTGTGGTCTTTGAAGGCGAGATCTTCTGACTTTATCACTCCCAGGTCCTTCACATTACTCTTCCGCTCTATTGTATGGTTAGAATTTGTTGTATACCCTGACAGATTTTTAATTTCTTCAAGTTTCCCATATCTGAGTAGTTGAAATTTCTCCTCGTTGAACTTCATATTGTTTTGAGTGGCCCATTCGAAGATTTGGTTGATGTCTACTTGGAGTCTCGCGGTGTCTTCGATGGAGGTCACTGCCATGGTAATCCGGGTGTCATCCACAAAGGAAGACACGGAGCTATGGTTTACATCTCTATGTCAGAAATGAGGATGAGGAATAGAATGGGAGTGAGTACTGTGCCTTGTGGAACAGAGCATTTTACCATGGCTGCCTGGGCCTTTACTCTGTTTACTATCACTCTTTGCGTTCTATTTGTCAGGAAGTTGTAGATCCATCCCCCTCAAGGAAGGTTCCTTGATGTTGGTGAGGGGCTCTTGATTTAGGGAATTGGATCTGTGTTCCAGTTCCCCGAATTAAGCCTGAATGCCTTCCACATCCCCCCGAGGTGCTGTATAATCCTCCGGGTTTAGCGCTTCCCCCTTGATTATAATAATAACAATAATAATGTAGATCCATCTACCAACTTTTCCCGTTATTCCTTTATCACTCATTTTGTGTGCTATTACACCATGGTCATACTTGTCAAAAGCTTTTGCAAAGTCTGTGTATACTACATCTGTATTTTGTTTATCCTCTACAGCATCCAGGACCTTGTCAGGTGGTTGGAGATCTTGTTTCGTAGAACCCTCTCAAAGA